GTTTGGTTTTTATTAGTCTGTTATCAAAACACAATATGCAGGATGACCATCACAGCATGAGCTGAAATCCTGTCATGGGTTTCTCCGTTCCACAGGACAGCACTTTATAATGAATACTGCGGTGTCTTAGAAGTGTTTAGACTTAACATAAAAAGATTCAGAAAGTGACAGCATGTTTATATTATTCCAAATGCTAAAATGATATATACCATTTACAGTATACTGACATCATGTTATATAGCCTCAAAAATAATATCAGTGTTTTAAAAATGGCCATTGTTCCCCTTTAATGCTTCACTGTATATATAAATGCATTTAATCAGTTGTGCTCCATGTTAGGAGACACACATGTTAATGCTCTTTTAAGCTTTAATAGAAAGTGTTTTATGTTTTTGTTCCAAACTCTGTTAGTCAATTATGGTGATTAGTTGTTCACACTGTGACAGTATGTTTCATTGTATGGCTCCCATAGTGGGAGATAATGTAGTGCAAGTGTGATATGGAAAGGTCCTATGTGTACTGTGGTGGTGTTACTCTTCAAATGAAGTTCAAAGAGCAGCACTTATTATATTTGAAGTCTACATATACTCCATGATCAAGGTTCACTTAGGGTTGCACAGCAGAATGCAAGATGAATTACATTTCTCTACAGGTTGACTGGAATCAATAGTTGAATACGTTTTTCCTCAGCTTGTACTTATTAAGCCATTGTAGAATTTGCCATATGCTTTAAAACACACCCACACACACAGTTGCTGGAACTCCTAGAAATACCAGCAGTAGCAGTGTTTTGATTGAAATCATGATAAGATTCAAAACTCCAGTACTTCACAAATATTTGATCTTAATAACCCTGAGGATCAAGGTCAGATATGATGTTATTCCTCCTGTTGATTCATGGCGGTTTGCAACCAAATAAAATGTGCAATGCTGTCACTGAGTGGGCAGACAAGGTCATTTCAATTACATACCTGCCATCATATTCTCCTATTTATGTATGTATATGTTGATGTGCAGTACTTTAAGGCAACAGTTGCTATGGATACCTCGGGAATATAAAGTCAGGTAAGTGGTTATTGAGATTAATAAATAACAACAAAAGGTAATTTTTTAAATGTGACAAGTCATTTTTTGAGATATGCCCATAACAAGACACATTTGTGAAATAACAGGAAAAAACATTGTGTGAACTAACAAGATAAAGGCTGTTAGGACAGTAAAATGTTCAGAGCAGAGGATTGCAGAGGTTGCTGTAATCCTCAGCTCACTGGTTTGAATTCAGCTCGAATGCGCGTCTTTTCATAAGGAATTGTCTTAACTTGTTAAGTAAATTTTACTGCACTTAATGAGTAAACTTTCTCTTATTGTTACCTGCCTGCTAACTGTAAAGTAGCAGCAGTTTACAATTGTTTGGATACGTTATATGTTCCTTATTTAAGACTTCTTTTGTGAGGCAACAACTTAAATAATTAACAGTCATTTAGAAACAAAGAACAGTTCAATCAATCAATAAATCAATCAATCAATTTTATTTATAAAGCCCAATATCACAAATCACAATTTGCCTCACAGGGCTTTACAGCATACGACATCCCTCTGTCCTTATGACCCTCGCAGCGGAAAAGGAAAAACTCCCCAAAAAAACCCCTTTAACGGGGAAAAAAAACGGTAGAAACCTCAGGAAGAGCAACTGAGGAGGGATCCCTCTTCCAGGACGGACAGACGTGCAATAGATGTCGTACAGAACAGATCAGCATAATAAATTAACAGTAATCCGTATGACACAATGAGACAGAAAGAGAGACAGAGAGAGAGACAGAGAGAGAGATGCAGGTAATGACAGTAGGTTACAACAATATTATTGAAAGGAATAATATTATAGTTATAGTTCTGGCTACTGTGGTACAATATGTTGAAAGTATGTATTAATATCTGGCAGTATACATGTGTGACAATAGTCATATG